TCTCAGTCCAGCCGTAGCTGTATGATATAACTAATATCAATTAACCGTAGAGAATTATTAACCGTTCCCAAAATCAAAATGAAAGGATTTTTCAACTCAATACGTGACTTCACTGCCAGCGTGCCGAAAAGAGAAGAAAGGAAATCACCAGACAGGTGGGCGCTTGAAATTTTAATCTCGAAACCCCCTCCTGACAAAAAATTAGCTATAAAATCCCTTGGTACTTCCGCAACCAGTTAAGTACCAATGTTGCTAGGATTAATCCGATAATAAAAGAAAATTAATAATAAATCAAACAATAATAATAAGTTAAATGCAATTACAATTAGATACACTTTATAATGGTTTAAGATCATTAATAAATAAAAGTATTAAAATAAGTTAAATGCTAAAATTAAATATTTAGAGACTAAATATGAATGAGGTGAAATATGATTTAAGAAAACTTCAAGAAGCTGGAACAACGTTACACGCGTTGACGATTTGACGTTTGCCTTAACCAAAAATTAATTAATCATAACAAAAATCACAATCAGATTATTTATTAATAATAATTATTGAAGGTATTATTGTTATTAAAAAGGTATGTACATCGTTTCTTATAATATAATTAATATAATATGATTTCCCTTTGTAGCAACCAAACAACTAACAAAATGCAATGAATATTTCCACTTGAACAGAAGTAAACAAAATACCAAAAGTGAGTATATAAAGTGGTTATTATTAATATTACTTTAATTAACGTTATTTTAGATAAATAAGAAGTCTTTACACGATGCATTTGCCCTTCCATAACCTGTAGAATAATACCTCAAGATCGAGTCAAAGATATTATTTACAAAATATTACATTTGGCTAAAAATACAACAATATGAAGTTAAATTGTGATTTAAAGTTAACGCACATTTACTTTAGTTGTAAATAGAAAATGAATAAATAATCAATATGTATTAAGAAATGTATTGTTATATTTTATTAACGTGTCATCAAGGTTATAAATAAACGCGGCGGCGTGCAGAGACGCTGCCAACTCCGTCTAGATAATAATGGGCAGCAGTTTGAACATTTAATGTAGTCTTTGTGTTTTTATTTTTTATATTAACTGAGAAGCCCCATTGAAGTAACCTGTTGAGTTTGTGTCATAGAGAAAGTAATAAAAAGAAAGAAAAAAATATTATCTCTTGGTTTGTATTAAAATAATATGTTTTTTTGTTTCTCTCACACTTATTTATTATTTGCTTCGTATTTTTCGAATTTATTTAATTGTTAATACTGCCGCGTCCTTTTCCAATTTGAAGTTCAATAAAACACAAGTTTACTTAATCGGTAATGAGTTGCATAGAGGCCACTAGCTTTTAATTTTAACAGCCGGGTGGGCGGGGTTCAAAGGTCTTAATAAAAGTGCGCCACGAGATTATACTCTATGAACTCGACATAAAAGATGTTACTATTAAGTAGACTTCAACACTAACCTCGAACTGTTGAGTGTAACTGCCATGAACTTCAAATGTTACTATAATTATTTAAACTTAAGTGACTCTAACTTAACTATGAGACCAGACTGCAAATAATACTACTAAAAATATTTAAGCAAAATATTGAAATATCAAAAATGTTAAATGTATAAAGAAAATGATGAAATGTATATGAAATGAAGTAACGTTTAAATCGATAAGAATAAATGAAAAATGAAAATGGTCTAAGCTATCTATTCGTACTAAAACTAAGACGTCATCCCCCTTAACTTAAACTAAGTATGCTCTAAGGGCGGAATACAAATAGCAAATCGAAACCTAACTAATATCTAAACAGTTTTACTCTACTCGATGTGATATACTTGAAAACTTCTCGGGCTGCTCAACGGCGTATAGCTACAGGGTTGTACAGCAGCTCGGTGTACAGCAGTTCGGTGTCACTGGAGCCCACAATTGACAGCAGACGTGAGTAGATAAGCAACCTATGTCCGAGCTCAAAATCCCATGCTTTTTCTTATGAAGGTCCATTCTGTCTTTTTGTACCCAAAGTGGTGGGGGTAAATTCTGAGACTCATATTGCGCAGGTGCTATCAGTCAAACGTCAAATGTCAAACGTCAAGCCTGTCAAATATCAAACCTATCTTACGTCATACGTTGGGTGGAGGGCGCGGGGGCTATGGCGCCAAACACCAAACACCTAGAGGGGGCCTAAGTCAAAATGTCTCAAAGGTATAGATCACATAATGAACGACGTTCGTATACAAGTCAAATACCATATATATATATACATACCACACCATTCACCATATGCCATATACCTAACACCTAGTCCTGCGCCCTCGTGGGGCCCCACATATAGGTATTTGTTAAGATTAAATTAAATGTTTATATAAAAAAAAAATTATATTTTAAATATACTAGCGCATCCATCATTTTGTCAAGATTGTTTAATAATTTAATAAAAATGTTAGCACATTCATCATTTTAACAAGACTTAATAATTTATCAAAAATAAAATAAAATATTAGCGTAGATGAAAAATATTATTTACTTACCACGATAGCTGTCTGTCTACATCGGCTGTTTAGGAGAAGGATACGACAACAGCTGCGAATATCAACTTCTACGCGCAAGGTAAGTACCTAAAATATTAACAATTTATTATTATTAACTAATAAGCGCTATTAGCATAAAGTAATTAAAGTTAATGATGCAATTTCCTATAAAAAACAAAGATTAAAGGAAAAAGTTTAGGTAAATAAAGTGCTATCATAGACTTCGGCAAACATCGGTTGTTATCGTAACGTGTGGTACCATTAGCAGCGTGCGCGCAAGTCCCAAATTTCTAGTTAATAGTTTATAGGATAGTTTAGCAAAAATAATAATAAAATATATACGTAATGCTAAATGATTTACTACAAAAACATAACGATTGTGAGGGGTATTGAAAATAAATTAAGAGTATTGAATCAAAACATAGATTAAATGTCAAACATCAAACACCATCTGTCATAAGTGGTATGTCAAAACCGAACATCGCGCAAGATCCAAAGTAAACAGAAAAAATTTAAAATAACGCTAAATGCTAAACTATAAAAACATAATATAATCTAAAACCCTACGTTATAAGTATATGAATGATAGAGCTCTTAACCCTATGTTATAAGTAAACAAAGTGCTGTCAAACGTCAAACATTAATAGTTTTTATAAGCGCGCCAAAAGCAACAGGGTGTGGCAGAACTATCAGTTTTCGCGCAGGTCCAAAGGTATACGAAACATTTAAAGATATGTACATAACAACTGAGGCATTGATATTCCGATGGAAAGAAAATAATTTAAGAGCATTAAACCAAAAGCTATAGGGTTTAATAAAAAAACAAAACTAAGATTAAATGTAAACGTCAAACATCGTCTGCCAAATATTGGTAGCTCTCGCGCCAAAATCAACAGGTATGGTAGTTCTTATGCGCAAGCTCCAAAATAAACAGAAAAATTTTAAAATAACGCTAAACTACAAAAACAGTAGTATTGAACCAAACCCATACACTTACACCAACACATACACTTACACCCTTCTTCTTCTTCAATATCACATTTAAGCTCTTTTCACTAAACGCACGATGAAAATACACAATAAATTTCTTGATCTACCAACGCCGTTTAAAGTTAGAAACACACTGAAACACAATGGTTGGTAGTATGACGCCATAATTGATAGGATTGTGACGAACGCCAGTACAGAGAAACAATAAAATTAATATACGAGGTGTAGCTAATTTAGTTGCTTTTATAAAGATGAACTAGTACTTTCATAATAAAGTTAATATACAGGGTGATTGCGGTATATACATGATGAGTCTTAAATAAGTGAGAATATATGGTGGTATTACGGGGGAATAAAATTAATTTAAAGGTATTGAACGAAAAAGACGAAGATAAAAAAAACCTAACCTAAACATCCTACCAAAGGTACATATACGAATTTACTGAAAAATTACTTAAACAAATCAAACGTAAAACTTAAAATATGTACTCACTAGGGTTTACTGCTATTATTATCCACATATTTGCACAACACAGTAATTTTTTAACACCATAACTGTTGGAAACAAACTAAAAAGGCTGAATGAGTGTGTTAACTGATAGCACTTCTTGATTAAAGCTATGTTTGTTGACGTTTTTTAAGTTTTTTATTGTATGATTACAAGTATTTTGTTACAAAACAATGCTGAGCGTCACCTTCTTGCTCAAGGTTTTTCAATGACAACTATGACATATATTTTACTAGAGCGGGGCAAGAAAAATAGAGCTGAGTTACATTCATGTAAAAATACAAATCGATACTTAATATAATATGATAATAATTAATAATACAAAATAACAAATAAGCATTAAACATATCGCCGCCCTTGACAAGACAAAGTCTTTCAAACAATAAGTGATATGAACTGGCTACAGATGAACAATTATTATGTAAGAGTAACAATTAATAACATCATTCAGTAGGAAGCGGACATATTTTCGCGATTGGGCGTTTAATCTTGCCACTAGCGCACTGAACGGAAACTACTCGAACTACACCATCACTTCCAGGAAAGCATTCGAGTACCCGTCCCAGCTTCCACATAAGAGGCGGTTGATTATCCTCTTTGATTATAACCAACATCCCTTCCTTGATGTTACTAGGAGTTGAGGTCTTCCATTTAGATCTAACTTGGAGCTCGTTCAAATAATCAGTCGACCATCTGCTCCAAAAATGCTGAATCATTTGCTGGATTAGTTGACGACTTTTCAGGAGATTTTCTGGCGCCTCCCGCAAGTCCCTGCTAGGAATTGATGACCCTGGTCTTCCAATAATGAAATGGAATGGAGTAAGGGGATTCAGGTCAAAGGGATCAGATGACAAAGGATACAAAGGGCGGGAGTTGAGGACAGATTCTATCTGTATCATGACTGTTGTTAATTCCTCAAAATTGAGAATTGTTTTACCAACTACACGCCTAAGGTGAGCTTTCATTGACTTAACGCCAGCCTCCCAGATGCCACCGAAATGAGGTGAAGCAGGTGGAATAAATTTCCATTGTATTCCTAAATTTGATGCCTTTGTCTATTATGGTGTTGCTATGTTCTTTAAAGAGTGTCTTAAGATCAGAGTATGCACCTACGAAATTGGTACCATTATCTGAGAGAATTACAGAGGGTTTACCTCTTCTAGCAATGAATCTATTAAGAGCATTTATGAAAGCTTCAGTGGTTAAACTAGACACTAATTCGATATGTATAGCCTTAGTTAAGAGACATACAAAAATTGCTGCATAACTCTTAATTTCTTTATATGGTCGCGTTTTTCTATCTCGAGTTGTAAAAGGGCCAGCATAATCCACACCTGTATTCTCAAACGGAAAAGAAGCTATTAGTCGTTCCTTTGGCAATGAGGCCATAACATAAGGATAAACCTTTGGTTTAACCTTAAAACAGGTGACACAGTTATGGACTACTTGTTTTACTAAATTTCTGCCATCTATTGGCCAATATTGTTCTCGTAAGGAGGATAAAAGATGCTGTTGTCCACAGTGCATTAACCTTACATGTTCATTTCTGGCAATTAATTTCGTTAAATGATGACCTTTTGGTAAGATAATCTGATGAATTCTATTTAGGGGTAAATTAGAATTTTCAAGTCTACCTCCTACACGCAATAGACCATTATTGTCAATAAAGGGTTTTAAAGAAAGAATTTTACTATTTTTATCTAGACCGATATTCTTATTTAAACATTGCATTTCTTTTGAGAAAGATTCACTCTGAGATATCTTAATTAATCTATGCAAGGCATATTTTAATTCATCAGGACTTAAGTTAGAAAAATTTCTTCTATCTATTGAAGCTTTAGAATTAGTAACAAATCTAAAACAGAATGCCACAATCCTTTGTAGCTTTGTTAAGCTAGAGAATTTTAAGAAATATTCAAAATTATTTTCATGTTTTGAGTGCAGCGTGATTGTTTGTTTACGAATTTCGGGTATTTCTGTGTTGAGGGTAGGTTCTGAACTATCAATAAAATGAGAAATGTCCTTTTGCATTAACCATGGAGGTCCACACCACCATAAGCTAGAATCTAAGATAAGTTTTGGAGTCACTCCACGGGATATTAAATCTGCGGGATTATCAGAAGATTTAACATAGTGCCAAGTAGAGACATTAGATAATGATTGTATTTCAGCTACCCTGTTGGAAACATAAGTTTTCCATCGTTGTGGAACGGATCTTATCCATGCAAGAGTTATAGTTGAATCAGAATATAAAAATATATTAGAAGGAGTAAGAGTTAAGGCTTCGGTTGTTTTGTGCAGTAATTGCGCTAACAAAAGAGCTGCGCTTAACTCTAAACGAGGTAGAGATAAGAATTTTATTGGAGCAACACGAGATTTTGCGCAAAGGAGTCTTACTTGTATCTGATCAGACTTTACTGAGCGGACATAAATACAAGCACCATAAGCTCTTTCGGACGCGTCGGCAAAACCATGTATCTCAATAAAATCGTAATTAGGTAAAATAACATGACGAGGTATTCTTAGCAAGTTTAATTCATGAAGATCGTTAATAAAATGTAACCATAAGGTATGTAAATCGGATGGCAACGATTCATCCCAAGAGATAGCCGATTGCCATAAAATCTGAAGGAGGATTTTGGCTTTGATTACTACAGGAGATAGTAGGCCAAGAGGATCAAAAATTTGGGACGTAATTGATAGTATCGAACGTTTGGTTACAGTTAAGTTGTTATCTAAGTGTTGGATAGAATATTTAAGAATATCTGAATTAGAATCCCAAACAATGCCTAAAGTTTTGTTATTCGTAGATTCTTTGTCAAGAAATATGTCATGATTATTTTCTAAATCATCTTTTGATAGAAGACAACGAGTATTAGTTGTCCATTTTCTTAAATTAAATCAACACTACTTAGGATTGAAGTTATATCGTCTTTAAGCGATTGAAGAGTGGAAAGAGAGTCGTGTCCGGTTAGCAAGTCGTCAACATAAAAATCGTGTTCAATAGCATTACTAGCTAAAGGATTTGTAGCTTGATAGTCAATGGACAATTGCTTCAGGCACCTTGTCGCTAAATATGAGGCCGACCCAGTGCCGTAAGTTACGGTATTTAGTTCAAAACAAGATATCTCATCACTTGGGTCATTTCTCCAAAAGATTCTATGATATTTTTTGTCATCCTGGTGCAATAAAATCTGCCTATACATTTTTTCAATATCTGCAGCAATCACATAAGTGTGCTGTCTGAATCTTAAGATGATAGAAAAAAGATCATCCTGTATATTTGGACCTGTGTATTGAACATCATTTAGCGAGAGTCCAGAATCACTTTTACTTGATCCATCAAATACAACACGCAGTTTAGTTGTGGCACTTGATGTTTTGATAACACAATGGTGCGGAAGATAGAATGAATTTGCTTCATTATTTATGTCTGAAGATATTTTTTGCATGTGGCCAAGATTTTCATATTCCAGTATAAATTTTTTATAATCTACCGCAAGTTCAGAATTTCTAACAAGTTTTCTTTCCACGCTATTAAATCTTTTTAATGCCGTAGTACTAGAATCGCCAAGATTAGAGAGATTTTCTCGAAAAGGTATTTTAACAATAAACTTGCCACTTGAATCTCTGGTTGTAGTGCTTTGAAAATGAGTTTCAACCAGCTGTTCTTCAGGCGTAAATCTATCGCAAGAAGCGATCTCCTCTTGCTCCCAGAATCTTGCTACCTGTTTTTCCAAACGCGAGGATTCCAGATTAAAATAGCTTAATGTTTTGGAAACATTTTTTTGGAGGTAGTTCTTAGGGATAATATTACAATTTCCAGTTATTACCCAACCCAAATGAGTTTTCTGCAGTGATGGACAATTTAAACCTAACGATAATTGTCCAATGCACAACAGATTCCAAAAAATGGTAGCTCCAAGCAAGATGTCGATATTTCCAACTTTATTAAAACTAGGATCTGCCAATCTGATGTGACTAGGGATATTAAGATGAGAGTAATCAAAAGAAACCATGGGCAAGGGTTCAGTTATAGATTTCAAAACTAAACAAGATAAATTAGTTTTAAAACTATTATGGATGGATCGAATAGTTATATTAGTTTTAAACTTTATGGAGGATGCCTGACTGCTTAAGCCCATTATCATGGTTTTTGATTCATATAAAGGTACCCCTAATTTATGACAAAGTTGTTCAGTCACGAAATTTGATTGGGAACCAGAGTCTAACAGGACTCTACAGGTATGAAAAACACCGTTCACGTCAGGAACCTCAACCAAAGCAGTAGCTAGAAGAACTTGTTTTAAGTTGGTGTTTTTAGATGTCTGATATGAGGATAATGCAGATGATGTTTCAAGATTACTAACCTCAGACGTGCTAGGATTTGAAGAATTTATAGGAGGTTCAGAGGATGAAATCTTGTCGAGTCTTTCAATATGAAGCAATGTATGATGTTTGCGATTGCATTTTCTACAACCTGTAGATCGACAATCTTTAACTAAATGGTTAGTTCGTAAGCAATTTAAACAAAACTTATGTTTATAAGCCTCATTTATTCTCTCCTGAATTGAGAGTTTTAAATAATCAGGGCAATTATAAATATTATGGGAATTCTGACAAAAGATACATTTGAAGTTGGTGGATGAAAAGTAAGAATTGCTTTGAGCTGTATTTTTAATTGGTTTCTGAACCCTTTTAGCTATTTTAGTTATAGAGTGCGGATCTCTATCTGGAGTAGTTATGCTCAAAGATTCTAAGATACTGCAGCGATTTTTCAAAAAGGCCATTAAGTTTTCATATGTTGGAAGAGTGTCTTGAGCTTGGTATTGTTCCCATTCTGTTTTAGTGTGTGAATCGAATTTCTGACTTACAATATATATCAACAACGAATCCCAATGATCCACACCTTGTCCCAAAGCCTTTAAACAACGTATGTTTTTATTAACTGTATCCGAAAGATTTCTTAACTCGAAATGAGATCCATTGCGTATAGGGGGTAAGTCAACAATTTGTTTAATGTGATTATTTATGATAATTTTCTTGTTTTCAAACCTGTCACGTAAAATTTGCCAAGCTATAGGATAATTTAAAATCGTAACTTCTAAAGACTCTATGATGTCTGATGCCTCATGTTTCAAACAAGATTTTAAGTAGTAAAATTTTTGAATTGTTGTTAAGGCAGGATTAGAGTCAATTAAAGATTTAAATGTGTCATTAAAACTAACCCATTCATTGTATTTTCCTGTAAATATTGGTAAATTTAAATTAGGAAGCTTGATATTAAATTGTGTATCCTGAACCAAAGGTGCATTGCTAATAGCTTGATTTAACTCTTGAGAGGGATTATAGCTGTTTAAATAAGATTTAACAAGAGAAATTATATCATAATACTTATCTTCAAATGCTTCACGCTCAGATAAACTTTTTGTTAATATGTCTTCCTCATAAGATGGTACATCAACATCTGAAGATACATTTTAAAAGAATAAGCATCACTTTCATCTTGAATGCGATTAAAATTATCTAATAAATCCGTGGCATTACTTAGCCTGTCATTAATTTGATTAAATTTATATTCGTCAATAGGATCACTTTTGATTTTTTGATAAAAGTTAATTAATCGAGTTAGACTACCTTTTAAATTTGCTCTCGCTCTAGTTAAGTCAGCAATATATATAAATTTTGATGATTTAAAATGATACAAATAGAATTAGGATTAGATAAGCTAAGCTAGGATAGGATAATAGGATGGACTTACGATTAGCTTCTTCTCAGGTTCAAGCCTCTATTGTATATAGGATAAACTTCTGAATGATAGGGTAGGCTTCTAACTTTGTAGGCCTTGTCTGACTTCTAGGTTATACTGTCTTTTTCTGTGATTTTCAGGACTTACTTCATCCGGCTCGAAGGACCAATGATAACTGATAGCACTTCTTGAATAAAGCTATGTCTGTTGACGTTTTTTTAAGTTTTTTATTGTATGATTACAAGTATTTTGTTACAAAACAATGCTGAGCGTCACCTTCTTGCTCAAGGTTTTTCAATGACAACTATGACATATATTTTACTAGAGCGGGGCAAGAAAAATAGAGCTGAGTTACATTTATGTAAAAATACAAATCGATACTTAATATAATATGATAATAATTAATAATACAAAATAACAAATAAGTATTAAACAGAGTGCTTAAAATTATTGTTTTTCTATAAACGGTTGTTGCTGATAAGGTCGTAACAAATACAGGTTTTGGAGTCTAAAAAAGAATATTTATATAATAAACAATATAAAATTATTATACAGGGTGTAGCTAATTTAGTTAGTTGCTTTTATAATAATATACAGAGTGTAACTTAAATTATAAAAACAATCTTAAGCCCCAGCGCCACATCAAGGCATAGCTACATTGCTGGGGACACATTCGCACAACCTTTCACTCCAAACAAATTACTATGAGTAGGCAGCACGAGCACTAATCTAAAAATTAATCCAGACGGCTCTTTAATTCGCCAGTAGGTACGAACAGAAAATCTAGGTGGTTATTTCACCAAAAATTAGTATATAGGCAGCACCAGCACTAATCTAGAACTTAATCCAGAAGGCTGTTTAATTCGCCAATAGGTACGAATACTAAATCTAGGTGGTTCATTATTTTACCCAAAATGAGTATATAGGCAGTACCAACACAAATCTAAAGTTTCGACTCTTTAATTCACCTAAATTATACATTCATAGTGTTTAACTAATAATTTGTTTTTAATTATACTCATGCACACGCCATTGAGGGTGTGCCAGTTGTAGTGTAATGAAAATTTTGGAATCGATTTCCAGTGACTTCGTCTACTGGCTTGAAATTTTTTGACAGATGAATTTGACAGATAAAATTTCTGACAGATTAATGTTTCAGCCAATAGAATTACTGGAAATCTATTCAAGGTCATTACGCCGTTACGCCGATACGCCGTTTTTAGGATAGTGTGGCTGCACCCTCACACACACAGACATGTAACGTTTTTAGTTCGTTACATGTCTTTTTTATATATAATATATGATGTCTGGCCTATCATCACCGGATTCCGTATCGTTCAGGCCTGATGATTTATTTGGTACGCTTGAACGATATTTTTACGTTCCCTCAGTCGCCAACCCTGCTATCGTTTCACTGTTCTGTGGAGGCGCGCGCTGTCAAGTTCCTTTCAAGACGCTTCTCCGTACTTAACCTCACTTTTTGTCTAGCCTCAGGACAGACTGTCACCTTCAGAGCCCTGCTTTTAGAAATGGTGATTATTTAAATCTTGCTGTATAATCTTAATCAGCTGCCATTTCGAAGCTACAGGTAAAGATGAGATATTATCCTTTTAGATTCGATATTATTACTGCATATCTTTAGGGTAGAGTTACGGATGTCCCAACTTGTATTTGTATTTGGCTGGCACGTTGGCGTCCCTTTGCTTTTGTCCTCCAGAATGTCATTTGGAAGAAAGGACAGATTATTTATTATTTATTGAGCCCTCAGAAGTATTTCGAGGTAGGTTCATTTTGTTTATTAGACGGTGTTTGATTTTAAACAAGAGTTTCGTGTTCTTAGGGTCTTACGGACGGACATTGTTTTACGGACAAGTGTCCAAGGTATGGACTATTTTTCAAGGTCCTAGTAGTGTTTTCCTGTGCCACTATCTTATGGACGGATGTCCCATGGACAAGTGTCCCCAGTAGGGATTGATTTGTCTTTACACATAGAGTGCCCCAGCGTGGATGTGGCTTGAGCCCCGTGCTGCTTCACCCCCATTTCTAAGCCTGAGTCGATCGCCGACAGACAGTACAGAGATGCTAGACCTCCTCGCGCTGCTACTGTTCTACATTGTTGAAGCAGGGTTACATAAAAAGAACAGATAAGTGTAGATTTCATTTTGTTCTAGTTTTCATGTTTTGGATTTTCTATATTTTCAGTCTTAAACAGTAACGTATATTTTAAATAATATCGTACAGACTATTATTAGTGGTTAGATTATTAAGAACATTTATGTCGATTCAGTAGTTACAATGTGATTTAGATTTTAGGTTTCATTATATTACATCTTGTAATAGTATTACTTTCTATAGATTATTATTGCGCTATATTAACAGATGAATAACGAGACATAGATTCTAGAATCTACAGGTTGCAACATATCAGATTTAATACCGCATAAAATTTAACAATTTAAATAAAGTAATGCAACTTTTCTTATATTTTCTATAACGTTACACGCATTGTATTTTTTCATAGTCTTTTCATAGAACATATTTAATATTATTTACATACATAGTTTTACTCAACAAATAACCACTATAATAATTATTAAAATTGTACAATGCTATTTACCATCAGAATTCATCATGAATAATTATATCATTAGTTTTAAGTATTATCATATTATACAACTGTGTTTTCTTTTCTCTGTACCTGGCGCCCAATATCTATATATATCTTTTGTTTATTATTGATTAATCTTTCTCTCTAGTGAAATACCTTATCCACGACTGCTCTCCGATGAAAAGCTGCTGTTCGCAGTGGTAGTTGCTTAAAAAACGCTACACTTAATTTGGCACCCATAAGCGTGGGGCCTCGAGAAAAATAAACAACCTTTAATTTGACACTTTATTGTTTTAGTTTGACAGTCAGACTGTTTTATTTTTTACTCGTAATGTATTTCACTGGAGTCTGACAATTTTTCTTATTAATTTTCTTACATTAATTTTTGTAGTTTAATCTTTTTTGGCATGATACAGAGGAGGAAAAAGTTGTTGTTTTCTTGGTACGATTTAAGACTGAAGTTTTTATTCTCTTTCTTATTTTTGATATTTCTATTTATTATTATTTGGGTCTATGGAATTTGGACAATTTCATATAACGGAGATGTGTCAGCTGTGTGTTTTGATATTTATGATATTTTGATATATTTTTGAACCTGGTATACAGGGCGGTCAAGATTTAATGCTTGGACCTGAACTTTCTTTGGGTTTAAATTTTTTTTAATAGTTGTTTAAATTTTTTTCTTGGTAGATAAACTTGAAAGTTTATCTATTGTTGGGACTTCCTTATACAGGGTGGTCAATACTTTTTTGTGACTTTGAAATTTTTTAAATTTCAAGGTTTTTGACATTTGATAAAGTTTGAAACTTTATATTTACAGACATTTTGGTTTGTATTTTTCCCTATACAGGGTGGACAAGCATTAAATTTTCGACTTTGATTTTTTTATATCTCTAGGTGTTTGAAATTTGATATAAATTTTAAACGTTATTCTTAGCTGAGATTACTATTTGATAATTTTACTATACTGTGTGGTCACAACTTGATCATTTTGATTTTGTTTGTGTTGATTAATTGATTGCAACTAATTTTACAAGTTTTTGTGATTATTGATAACTGTTAGGGCGAGCTGCTAAACTTACATTTAGGGTTATTTTTTTGTATAGAAGTACGTTAGAGTTAATCTCATCTCGTTTATTGTTTAGTTTACCTTCAGGTTTCTATGCCAATGTTTTTTATGCCAATATTTTTATTTAGTATCGCATTCACTATGTTTCACCATCTGAACCTTCAGTGTTGTCAGTTCTATCGACAGTTGTTAGACTGTCCTGTTTGGTACTTTAGGTACATTTTGAGTTTTTTTGTCATGACAGTTATACTAGGACTGTTATGTTGATACAGGAAGTGTATCCTTGAGTTTTTTGAGTGTATGGCGAGGGTGACTTGTCATATTTGATACGTGAGGTATTGTTTTGTTTTCTTTTGACAGCCGTGTCAAAGGAATGTTTGGTACTTGTTCTGTTATGATAGTTGCCGAATAACTTTTCATACAGACATTTACCGTTTAGTGATTTAATGTCAGGAGGACATTAAATTTTTTGCAGTGTTGCAGACGACATATGCGGGAGCACTTGTCGTATTTATGGTTTACAGTTAGCAGGATGCTTCTGTGAACATTTTGGTTGTTAATGATTTTTTTTGGAGAAGTCCAAGATCATTAACGTATTGTCATCATTTGATATGATGATTGTTTTTGAGTTATTTGAGCGATTTAGCGCTTGTGACTCAAGTTTATGGAGGATTGACGTTTGACATTTCTGTTCTCGGATTCTGTTGCCTGGTTTTAATAGTTTTTACTAGATCTGATAGCCAATGCAGTGTTTCCGAAGAATATATCTGTGTCAAAATGCGTCAATAGTTTGAGTTTAGTTGGAGTTCTAGTTTTCTCGTTATTTGGAGAGATATTTTTTTGATGACACTTGTGTCATGTTCAGATCTTTTTGTATTGTGAGATATTTTTGTCTTGGTGACATCTATATCATTTTTAGTTTTTTTAGTGAATTTTGGCAGTGTCTGTATGGTATGTGCAGATGCATTGAGTTTTTTAGCGGCGGGCATAGCGAGATGATGATTGCTCTGTTTTATTAGTTTTTCTGGTTTTTTAGTCCAGGTGTATTGTTTCGCGAGCAATTACACCACTTTTTTGGTTTAGAATAACTATCAGTGAGATAGTTATTAGTTTGGTTTTGCCCGATGAGTTGTCATGGAGACAATTTCATCATTTTAGTCCCTTATGTATAGTTTGGTTTAGCTCGTTAGTTTTACTTAGCCCTACAGGTTACTTGCGTTTGGCAATTGTGATTTTTTTGAGTCTGGCTTTGAGCAGTGTCGTGTTTGACATTTTTGTGATTTTTGACTTTACAGTTTTCTGTAAGTCTTTGAGTTTGTTTGATTGTCATTTTTAGATGTATTTTTTTTTGTTTCGATCTATGGCTATTACCTAGCCTATGGTCGTGGTTTGTGGCCTTGTGGCCTGTATCCGCTCTATTATGGTGGGCGAGTTGAGTAAAAGCTACTGGTTGGTTGCTGTATACTCAACAGTAAAGAATAGCCATGTACGGGTTCCTCGTGACGGTAAGAGTCCGTCAAATGCCACCGTAGTATGTGGTAAGTCTCAAAACATCGAGAGTGTCGGAAATTATTTCCGAACACCTTATCCACATACTACGTATATGGTATTGCGTGTGTGGTGTTGTATGGGTGATGTTACGTATGTGGTACTACGTGAATAGTATTACGTATGTGGTATTACCTGTATAGTATTACTTTATCGTAATACCTATTTAATAGGTTTTACTTCGGTAAGTAAAACTTATATTTATTCATTTTATTAAATTGATTTGATTATTATTTTGATTTTGATTCGAGATACCTGTTAGGGTTCCGTCGCATTTGCTTGACAGGGCGTTGACCTTCCGTCTACTACCCTAGGCGATGCGTATTTTGTTTTTTTTCTCTCTGAGCTAAGGCTCAGAAGGTTTTTAGTTGTATTTTTTTATGTAGAGTCATTTTGGAGTATCGTTATAGATATGCTCTATTTATCCCATTTTATTTGATGTACACTACAGTGCATCCCCTCATGCTGACAGATGTAGGGTATTTTTTCATATTCATTTCATTTTTATCTTTCTTTACAGTTCTGTCTCTTGGTGATTATCTCTGGTTTTTGTTGTTGTTGGTTCCAGTCACTGCGTTGGAGAGAAGGGTTGAGCTAGTGCAAATTTTGTTGAGGTGTTTATGCTCGGTTAGCCTTCTTCAGCCTCTGTTGCTTTAGTCTGTAATTCCTTGTCTGACGTTGTTAGTATGATACATTCCGTTTGAGAGAAGGCTTGAGCTGGAACAGTATATTTGTCTGGTTGTCTTGGTCTTGTAGTACCGACCGTCAACCTTTAACTGCTCTAGTTCCATATAATTCCTTGTCTGGCGTTGTTAGTATTGTTCATTCCGTCCGAGAGAAGGTTTGTACTTGCACAGTAAATTTGATTGGTTGTTTTGGTTTTAGGTTACCGGCCGTTATATACCTCTATCTGCTCTAGTATTGTAGTGTTCCTTCTCTGGCGTAGTTGGTCTGACATGAACTAGAATGTTGGTTTCAGAAACTATCACCAAGGTTATAAACCGAGACGTATCGATACCATGAATGGATCGACGTTCTCTTTAATTATTGTTGAGTCGCGTTGTTTTAAAACATAGCGTATTTTGGAGTCTACACTTGTCTAGCCTGAGTTATCGATAATTTACACCTATATCGGTATAAAACACCTAACTATAGCAGTATTTATTAATCTTGCGTACCATACTAGCAGATGTACCTCCGTATTTTTTATTTTTTTTTATTTTAGCGAACAGTGGCTCGAGTATCTCTGTACTTTACGGCGTATCCAGTGACCACTGACTTTAGTAATTTTAAACCTTTGGTTTTTTTATCTCCTGCGTCATATATTCTTTACCGGTATTTGTCGTTTTTTTTGATTTGCCGTTTCCTTTTTGAGAACCTGATCAATTTTCAAATGGGTTTCGTCTATTCTGAAATTTACGATGTGGTTTTCTTTTGATTTTTTTTACCATCTCCAGATTTGTGAAAAAGAAAGTGTACCTTACAGGTCCATTTCTTTTCTTTTCGGAGGAGGGCAGTGTAACGTTTTTAGTTCGTTACATGTCTTTTTTGTATATAATATATGATGTCTGGCCTATCATCACCGGATTCCGTATCGTTCAGGCCTGATGATTTATTTGGTACGCTTGAACGATATTTTTACGTTCCCTAGTCGCCAACCCTGCTATCGTTTCACTGTTCTGTGGAGGCGCGCGCTGTCAAGTTCCTTTCAAGACGCTTCTCCGTACTTAACCTCACTTTTTGTCTAGCCTCAGGACAGACTGTCACCTTCAGAGCCCTGCTTTTAGAAATGGTGATTATTTAAATCTTGCTGTATAATCTTAATCAGCTGCCATTTCGAAGCTACAGGTAAAGCTGAGTTATTTTCCTTTTAGATTCGATATTATTAGTGAATATTTTTAGGGTAGAGTTACGGATGTCCCAACTTGTATTTGTATTTGGCTGGCACGTTGGCGTCCCTTTGCTTTTGTCCTCCAGAATGTCATTTGGAAGAAAGGACAGATTGTTTATTATTTATTGAGCCCTCGGAAGTATTTCGAGGTAGGTTCATTTTGTTTATTAGACGGTGTTTGATTTTAAACAAGAGTTTCGTGTTCTTAGGGTCTTACGGACGGACATTGTCTTACGGACAAGTGTCCAAGGTATGGACTATTTTTCAAGGTCCTAGTAGTGTTCTCTTGTGCCACTATCTTATGGACGGATGTCCCATGGACAAGTGTCCCCAGTAGGATTGATTTGTCTTACACATAGAGTGCCCCAGCGTGGATGTGGCTTGAGCCCCGTGCTGCTTCACCCCCATTTCTAAGCCTGGATCGCCGACAGACAGTACAGAGATCTAGACCTCCTCGCGCTGCTACTGTTTGAAGCAGGGTTACATAAAAGAACAGCTAAGTGTATATTTAAGTTCTAGTTTTGCATTTAACATCTAAAATGTTTTCAGTCTTAAACAGTAACGTACATTTTAAACAATAGCGTACAGACTATATTTAGTGGTTAGATTATTAAGGATATTTATGTCGATGCAGTAGTAAAAGTGTGATTTAGATTTTAGATTTCATAATATCACGCATTGTAATAGTATTACTTTCTATAGACATTATTATTACGCTATACTAACAGATGAATAACGAGATAGATTCTAGAATCTACAGGTTGCAACACATCTGATTTAACACCGTATAAATTTAACAATTTAAATAAAGTAATGCTACTTTTCCTATATTTTCTATAACGTTACACGCATTGTATTTTTTCATAGTCTTTTCATAGAACATATTTAATATTATTTACATACATAGTTTTACTCAACAAATAACCACTATAATAATTATATTAATTGTACAATGCTATTTACCATCAGAATTCATCACGAATAAATATAGTCATTAGTTTTAAGTATTATGAAGTATTATACAACTGTGTTTTCTTTCTCTGTACATGCCTGGCGCCCAATATCTATATATCTTTTGTTTATTATTATTGATTAATTTTCTCTCTAGTGAAATACCTTATCCACGACTGCTCTCCGATGAAAAGCTGCCGTTCGCAGTGGTAGTTGTTTAAAAAACGCCACAGACATACATATAAAATAAACTGAGTATCCATTATGGAGCAATGTCCATGAGGCAAAGTCTGAACTGACCCCTTAATTAGATGTCTCTTATCGTCATGGGGACTTAACCCAATTTTAGATTGTTTACAGTATAGAGATCATGCTTACTAGATCGTATTAATGTCTGTGAAATTATCTTTTCAATACAACTCTCTAAACAATCAATATTATCTTCAAAAGCAATTTTTTTATTAATAACAGCTTTTTTAACTCCCTTAATATTTTTAGTTACTCCTATGTTTTTCAAATAATTTTCAATTTCCAGCTTTTCTTCACTTTTACTTTTTAGCTCAAATTCTTTTTGTTCTAGCTCCATAGGTGTATAATATAATTTCGCTGCATACATTTTGGATCGAAGGCCAACAAAATGAGTCATAATACGTCCGTTATTTTCATCCTTCATCATACCGAGAGCTTTTTTATTTGCTTTCGGAATACTATAAATATTATCTGGAGAGTAGTCGCTGGTGTCAAAGTACAGCGAACAATCTCATTTCATTACGTCATAGACGTCTTGATTTTTAATTTCATAAATCAGTGAATCGGTGTCAGTATACAGAACGGTACAACCAGAAAAAGACCTTTTCATATAGCAATTATTAATGGAAATCGTAAATTGTGGTTTTCGTTAAATCCAAAATACACATTCCCACATAAATTGGTTTATTAAAATATATTTCAGATTTAGATAATTCAATTATTATGTTTTCATTAATTATGGTACTGCTTTTAAATTCAGGCCGCGAAATTAACGATTCCGCCCCATATCGACCTTCCCACATAGTTACTAATTTAATAGATGAATGCTTCCGGATATTTTCCATGGTTTTCCCAAACACAGCGTTGTTCATCAATTTAAACAAATTCTTTTCAAAATCATTTTTCGAAGCTTGCCTGAGCCGAGTGTTTAAATCAAAATAGGATTTTAACCAGGGAGACTGATTAAATTCTAAAACACGATGAATTTTTATTACTCTGACTCCTAAAGCTAAAGCTTGTTGTAAATTTTTATAGTGAACAACATATTCTTTTTATTATTTAAAGTAGCTAATAATTTAGAATTTTTAGACCCTTTAGGTATATCGTGTTTAGGACAAGGGGGTAGATCAGAAAAGAAATCATGTAGTTCGTTAGGAATCTGTAAATCAACTTCTAATATATTGCCTTTATTTGACTCATTGGTGATATTCTGTATATTTAAATTTGAAATTTCATTTTCGTTAAGCCATTTAAAACCGCCATATGGAAGATATTGTGACATGGCCCATCCATATTGATTATTAATATCGAAATACATAAGATAGGTTTCTTCTTTAGAGGGATCGTACGATGGAATGTACTTATTATTCGCTTCGGCGTATCTTTTCGAGCATTGACTTAAACCACCCCGAATTCCTTTTTCTATAAATAGAATTTGGTCAATATCAGTTAGAAGTTCAAGTTTTAGATGATCAGACTTCCACATTTGAAATAACATACATTGCCATGCATACCCAGGGAGAGTATACGAATGAGCGGGATCCAAAGTGTAACTTTTATGGGATCTAGTTCTAAAAACTGTTCAAAGATATCAGCCAGTAAAATAATGTCTATTTTCATATACAGTTCAGAATAATCACGCATACTTTGACATTTAAAAATATTCCAAACTTTTTGAGCATGTGCATAATCTTTATTGTTGATATATGAATCATTTACCCCCACGGGTGTCTCCACCTTGTCGTGGTGGGGGGGCTTAAGTGTTTCAATGATTCTAAGAGCCTTTATTATAAAGGTCATAGGAGAGAAGCATACAAAGAGAGACACAACAAAACAAGAATGGAGGATAAAACTAAGGAAACACTACCCCAGGTGGGTACCGGTAAAACCGGAGAATCCCACTCCTTGGAAAAGGACAGTCCCACGGATTCTGGGGGGGACAACCATCCATTTGTTGTTTATACCATAGAAGACCTACCAGAGCATTCTAAAGAAAATCCTTTTGAAAGAAGAGATTCTATAAAGCGAACACCACCGAGATGCAGGACATTTTCCCTTCCGGGTGAAATTACATTTCAGGATGTGCAAAAGAACCTAACACCTTGGAGCCAATCAAGTAAAAGAAAAAGAGTTGAACAAAACCCTGAAGAAGACAGAAATCTTAAAACTAGAGGTTATAATTTTAAGAAAACTATAAACTGTATTATAAGGGAGACAAACAAATTAAATAAGATAATTGGGGATATGTATAAACCCAAACAAGGAATAAAAGATATTGCTTCCCAATTATACCTTTATACGGAACAGTTGCAAAGTAAAAACCTAATGGAATGGTTAGACGACGCAATTCTAAATGAAGAAAAGTCAGAAAAAACATTATCGATGGCTACTGAAATAGAAACTTTAAAGAAAAACCTGTATCAAAGAGAACAACAAATTTCAGAACTCACAAGGAAAAGAACAACAAAAAATGCGAAAATTGTAAACAAGTGGAAGAAAAATTAATAGAACAAGAAAAATTACTAGGACAAAGAAAATATGAAGACTACGTAGCCATTACTGAAGAAACCTGGAACCGGAAAGTCTTCTCAAAAGTAAAAGCAATCGACGGTAAAATATATGATGCCCCGCCTAACACAGATGTCATATTATCATGCAGTGCTAATTTAAATTCAAAATGGAAAACGGTAGACGAAGCCATAAAGAGATTCGATGGTATACAAGGTATCCTTGCTCAAAATAAATCGGAAGGCGAGGTCGCCTTAATGACATGTAGCAGGGGATTTCCAAATGAGCAAGGAATTATGAAATATATAACTAGAGGCATACACTACCCTATTATTATAGGCCAGCATCCTAGAGAACAAGAAGGTCTATCTTATGAACCGTTATAGCTAGACAGTTGAAATTTTCACAGATAATGTATCTATGTTGCCGCTATAAGAACAAATACTAAAAACATAATTAAATAAATTCTTATAAATAAAAAAGTACTTTCACTAAACATTATCTTTTAAGTAAGAATTTTACATAGAATCTTTCAAGTCCTCGGTGGCCGCGTGTTTAAAGCGTTAGGACTTTACGCTGCTATGACGTTGGAGCCGTAGTAAGGCAGGTTCGAATCCTAGTCAAGGCGTTTTTTTTAATCGTTTTTTATTTACTTTTTACATATTTTTACATATTTATTTTTACTTTTCACATATTTATTACTGATTCATACAATTTTTAGTAATGTGTTTCTTAATTTTTTTAAATTACTTATACGCGCATTCAAAATTTCAGCTAAATCGGAAAAAAAGTTTATAATAATATAGTGTCATAATGAATGGTACGGAACCCTTCGTACTTTATTTACCTAAACTTTTTCCTTTAATCTTTGTTTTAAAGGACCCGAAACTGCAGTATCAAAATTTGAATATTTTTTACGGTTTCCTAGATACCCTAAAGAAACTTACAACCAAAATGGTTTGGTTTGGTTTGGTACAGGGTGGGTCAAATTCGACGCTTTTAAATGGAAACACCTTTTTCCATAGGAGATAGACGAAAACTAATATCGGTATCTGGAGCTCAATTTTTGTCAAAAATATGATGGTGAAAACCACATATCGATATCTGTTACCGTTTCGGAGTTACGGGGTGTTTTTCAAAAATATGCATTTTTAACAAATCGCTGTAACTTTTTTGCTATGAAAATTTTGTATTTTTATGAAAACATTTCCAAAGCACCTTTTTACGTAAAATTTAATGGTTTAAGTATAATTTTTTTAAACTTAATAATTAAGAATTATCAACAGAAAATTTGATTTTTTATATGGGCCACCCTGTATATTTTTAATTTATTGAAAAGAATTTAAAATTACCTTACCAAAAATATAACACTTATACACTTGAACTTGATAACACTTGATATTTTGCTCGATGCCTCTTCGAGATGTAGAGTATATAACAATTCGGCCGCTTTAAATAAGTAGGCTTTGAACGCCACCGGCTGTAATGCAAAAAATTCTGGCTGTGAGCATCAATTAAAACGAAAATAATATTTACTATGAGAGATGCAGAATTTTATAACAATTTAAAATATATTTAACCAACATCAACACATTTAAATTATATCTAATAACAATCAAAATAAATAGCAAACCAAGACATGAGATTTTGCTACAGGTGTTCGACATATTGACCGTCTTCTGTTATGGACAGACGGAGCAGTTTTGGAACATTTCTCGCGGAATTCATTAACTCAGTGGGGGTGAAAGATACCCTCTCATAACTTCTAAGTATTTCTAATTCTTGTCTAGATTATACGGAATAATCTTCTTAAGGTGCCGTGCAGATTCCTGCGTAGGCGTTCATCTTTTTCTTCCTCATCAGATTGTTCTATTAACTACAGCGACTTGGAGTGCTTGGAAGTCCTGTATGCCTGTCCAATGACGAATATTTCTCAACCAGGATAGCTTCCTTCGGCCTATTATTTGCCCCCTTCTATTTTGCCCTGGAGAATCAGACGCTGAAAGTGATAGCGTTCTCCACGTAGTATGTGTCCCAAATAGGCTATTTTCCTCTTCTTGATTATTTCGAGTTCACGTTGCTCCAGACCAGCTCCTCTAAGAATGTCTTCATTCCTCACACGGTCGACCCAGGGTACTCTTACTTAGCATTTGTCGTAGGGTCCTCATACAGAAGAATAAGGAACCTTTATTCTTCCGCAAATATATCCATAAGATTAGATCCATGGGCACTAAATCATATCATCAATAAGGGGTCCAAAGCCTACTAGTTAAAAGTGGCGAACTTTTAAAAATTCTGTATTTCGAAGGGGATTATAACTAAATATCAAGTGTGCTATATTTTTGAAAGGTTATTTTAAATTCTTTTCAATTAATTAAAAATATAGAGGGTGTCCCAAATAAAAAATCAGTTTGTCTGTTGATAACTCTTAAATTATTAATTTAAAAAAATATATACTTAAACCATTAAATTCTACGTAAAAAGGTGCTTTGGAAATGTTTTCATAGAATTATAAAATTTTCCATAGTAAAAAAGTTACAGCGATTTGTTAAAAATGCACATTTTTGAAAAACACCCCGTAACTCCGAAACGGTAACAGATATTGATGTGCGGTTTTCATCATCGTGTTTTTGATGAAAATTGAGCCCCAGACACCGATACTAGTTTTCGTCTGTCTCCTGTAGAAAAGGGTGTTTCCATTTAAAAGCGTCGAATTTGACCCACCCTGTACAATCGTCGGTATCGGTAAGTTACCGACAGCTATCGGTACGTACGGCCAATGAGCGTCTTATTAATTGTTGTTGTTATAGTTTTAGCGGTCAATAATACAACATATAGCAAATTTGTACCGACGACTAT